CCTGTTTCAACTGACCCTCAGAGAAACGTTTCAATTGACCCCATCCGCTCCCGCCATCTCGCACGCGCCGTAAAGCACATGTCAAACGAGCTGGAGGGACGGCATCATGCTGAATGAAGGGCCAAATAAGGTGTTATTCCGGAGCCAGGAGTTCTTCTTTCAGCAAACAAAGGTATATGAGATATCACAAAATATTCATAAGAACGATTTCTCCCAAACGCCCCTCAAAAACACAAAAGCAAGTGTCAAATCAAAATTACCGTCCGTTTGCCGCCCAAACGCCGTTGACAAAGGAAGTGGTCGAGCGCGGATGCGCAGTGGTTTCGGCAACGCCATATGCTGCATACTGTTGAAAATAAAGCCATGTTTCATCTGACCCCGTGTTTCAACTGGCCCCGCTCTCCCCTACCTGATCCATGCTGCGTTGAAATAATTGAAAATCGCCAAAATCAGTCAAAATATGACAATTAAATTAATATAAACTTCACAAAACTCTGATTTGTGAGGCAATGCGCAACAGAAATGCGAGGGAATATGGTAGTAATATGGTAGCAATTATGAAGGATTTCCCCTGTCGCTGATGAAAAAACACTTGAAACAAATTTTTCAACGCAGAGGAAATCCTTCATTATGAGTTGTAGGGACCATTTGATTGGCCCATTTTAGATAAATATAGGCCGAAAGTTTCGGTTTAAACCCCATTTATCGTAATCAGAGACGAATCCATTGGCTTAGTGGTACGTCTTTTGAACACAAGTAGGTCTTAGATTTCTCCTTAGCCGCCTGAAACACACCATGCTTTGCATGCATTTCTATGGGTGAAGGAAAATTCATGCGCCGTGATGACGTCACGGTAAAGGAATTCTGAAGCTCGTGAACGGGGGTGAGTGCTACCAACTACTTCGGCGGGGGCCGGGCCAGGGCAGCGTCCTGTCGGGTGAATCTAGAGCGGAGCTCATGGTTTGCTGAAAGTTGGGAAGCGATATCCTACCTTGACCTGAAATAACCACAGCCAGTAAAAACCTAGTCGGATAGTGTGACAAAGAGCTGTTCTACATAGCTGGCTTGGCACCACAAACGGCAGCGCCATCGGTATATGATGGGCACCGCACGTGCTATTCCAACGGGGGCCCCAAACAGCAACATTTCTAGTTTCACCTGACCTGGAAGGTTGATGATTGACCTAATGAGGTAAAATTGGGTACCATTGGATTTCTCTTCTCAAAGAATCTGTTGGTCTTTGACGCGAAGCTCTATCTTCAGCAGGAACGAAATGGCGCGGGGGGGGGGGGGGTCAACCCCATGTGCGTTCTATTCAAGGGCGGCGCCACCGTGGGGGCAGTGGGGGCAGACTGCCCCCACTGGCATGAGGCCGTGGGGGCAAGACTATGTTTTTGCCCCCACAAAATTTGGCTGATATTGAAAAGGGAACAGAAGACCGGTGCAACATTCATGATAGGCGGTTATAATAGTACGTCTGTTTTTGACGATCCCCGTATCAAGTGCATCAGCAGAGCGTTCGTTCTCGGACCGCCTGTCGCATATCTCCTACTTGAGGTTGAGGTTGAGAGTCAGTTTGTCAAAAGTCGGCCGGAGAAGAGAATAGAGATCACCCTCTTTTGGGAACCCTTAGCCTGAGACTGAGCTCAGGGAGGTAAAGCAAAATGTGATAGGTGTGTATATGCATTATAGTTATACATATGTCATTTGTATATGTCATATGCATATGTATAGGTATGTCATTTGGCGCATCTCGACGAGACGAATGCGAAGGTACGGCTCTCGCGAGATTACATAAGCGGTAGGTTATTGCACTTTTGCATTTCCGGTTATATCTCAGAAACTAATCGATCTACGATGAAGCCATTTTACACGATCATGGCCGGCTTGTTACCCAACAAGTCGATCGCATTTTCAACACTTAAAAGCCTAAGACGACGAAGATATAGCATAAAGAGCACTAAATTTTTATGTGCAAACCCTACCGCTAAAACCCGCGAGACCTGTACCACTGCCGTAGCTCTAGGACCATTTTTGTTAAAGTTCTTTGCGAAAAAAACTTAAAAGTTTTATGTTGACCTCACGTACACGTCTGTGACGCCGACGTTTGCCGTGCAGGGATCTAGCAAAATCGACCTTGTGACGTTGTCAAGGAGGCTAGGTCCAATTTCTTTTTTGCTTTCAAAAGATGTCAAATCAATGGGGGATAAGGTACAGCAAGTTTCGTCTTTCTATCCCTAAGCGTTCGTGAGGTATCGCAAACATTCGCCAGGGGAGGCGAAAAACGCCCCCCCCCCTTCCGGGCCCGCGAGGGTTAACCCTCGCCCCGTTGGGGGGGGGGGGCATTTTGGCCCCCCCTGTGGTTTTTCCTGAATAGCAAGAAAACGGCGGCGCGCAGCGCCGCCAAATTTTCAATACCTTCCCGGACATCAATTTGACACCTTCACACCAAATTTCAAGTCTAAGGTCACCTTAGGTCAGGAGTTATTGAGGTCAAACTGAGGTCATGTTCGAGCAAAAATGAGCAAAAAACATGCAATTTTGAAACGCTCACCAAATCTACAGTTATCAAGCAATTTCAAAGTTCTTTATATGGTCTAGTAGACAAAAAGCGGCGCTACAAAACTGCTATCTCGGATTTTCAAAATTTTTGGTTTTTGACCAAAAAAAATCAAAAAACTGATTTTATTAGAAAAACTAAAAAAAATCCAAAATTTTTCCGAATTTCGAAAAAACCGGAATATATGTGATAGTCCCGGCGCTCTTCTATATACATACCAAATTTCAGATCGATATCTCGTTTTTCGGCCAAGTTATAGCGAAAAAACTGTTCAAAAATGATGACGTCAAATTTTTGAACTCAATTTTTAGCGATTCTAGACCACGTACGGCAAAACGAAGACCACCATTGAACTCCCCGTGACGAGCTGCATCGATTCGATACCCATTTTATGCAAAAATATTAACTTTGAAATTTGACCTAATTTGACCTGCCCTTGACCTGCCCTTGACCTGACCTTGACCAAAATGTGACCTTAGCTGGCCCCAAAGGCTGCCTGACCCACATAATCGCATTTGTCATGTAAAATGGACCATAAAACATGTATCACACGACACTTTCATATTGTGACCCCCCCGTGACCTGACCTCTGTGACCTGACCTGGTGTCAGTGACCTCAAATAGCAAAATATGTGTTTGAAGAACATTTCCCCATCGATGATTTTCAATGAAATGCATTTTACTCGATTTTACAACGCATTTCTTGAAATGCCTGTAAACGGTGAAAATTGGACCTTTGACCTGACCTGTGACGTCATCGGTTTGACCTAGGTCAATAAAATTGGGTCACAAGGTAGTTCCCCGTTGGGGCTATCCAACGCCGTTTACCGCTTGTCGCTATGTTGCGTGGTTCTCGAGATCTTAGGGGGGGGGCCAAAATGCCCCCCCCCCCAACCGGGCGCGTTGCTCGGCAGAGCCCAACGGGGCGCGGGTTAATGGTTAAAGGGACTATCCCACCTTCAAAAAAGTACCATTTAGGATTCGGAAATGTTACTCATGATATTGTGACGAATTCTGCAAGTTTTTACGCGTTTTCATTGTATACTTTTTGAGATATTGCGACTTTTATATTTCATCGTGACGTCATTTAGATCGGATCTGTGACGCAATGAATGATTTACTTCATGTCAATGTGGGGGAAATTTGGCAGCAAATATAGGTATTTGCTCTCAAATATGACGCGGCTCATACAATAACTAGTGTCTCTGATTAGCTTATTCGTAAATCAAGTGAAACTTCACATGCGTGACAGGCGCTCAAAATGCAAATGACGTCATCAAATGGCCGTTAATAATTAAGAGATAGGGCCTTAGCTAAGGCCCACTTTTCAAATGAAGGGAACGAATTTCTTTAACACCAAGAAACTGAGGATATTGCGACCAGGATATATAGTGGTTTCTGAACCTGGCCGCCAACTTGGCTATCTCAACTCAGAACTAATGCAAAGGTGGGACAGTCCCTTTAAGCTCAATATGTATGCATGAAACCTGAAACCATAATAATTTTGAATGGCAACAACTAGGGGCAAGGTGCTCATGGATTTTGCAGATCGGGGTATCAGACAACAGTCGGGTCACCTCAAGCTTGCCCCCACTGGCGAAAATTCGTGGCGCCGCCACTGTCTATGATGGGAAAATGGCATGTGCGGGCGAGCGCTAACCCGCGCCGTGCTGATGGCCTGAACTTTCCGCCGAGTTCACCCCCCCCCCCCCCTAGTCTAAATCGGCTTCTGGGCCACGTAGCGACACGCGGTAAGCGGCAATCGAAAGAACGTCAATAATAAGGAAGAAATCACTTCGGTCATTTTTAAGGTCAGGTCAAACGTCGGGTCACCAGAGGTCATCAAAAGTCACATTTTGGCCATTTCAATAATTTTGGAAACTGCCAACGGCTAACTCGGGAACCAATTAGTGGTGTTAATCGGTTACCAAAATTTCGGTATACCAATAGGGTCCGGTACACCGTTAGAGATCAAGTGTCTAAATTACACTATAATTCACCCTGAATCCAAAAATACACATCTGAAACTTCCCAAAATTTAATTTGATGATATATAAGCCAAACAATTTTATGCCCTCAGGGTGTAAATGCTCGTGACGTCACTAGGTAGACATCAGATTGGCGCACTTCATACGATTGCGGCGCCATTTTTACATTGCGTGCTTGCGTTGGTTGCCGTTAGCTTGATAGCTCAGCTCAAGGCTCAGCTGTACGTTCGTGTTTTTTACTTTAAGATTCAGACCATATGTAACATTTTATTTAATAGTTTAATTTAAATTATTTTTTTCCGCGTAAACTTTGCATATTTTTTAGTAGTTTCATTGTGTTGCTTACTAAAAAGTACATTGAAATGAATAGGTGGCGCCAGGAAATATAGCCTCAGGCGGCATGCCGTTTTAGACGCTTCCGGCAACCGTGGCGCAAGCCGTTCTGTTCTTTGTGCGGATTGATGAGGTTGGGTGGTTTTAGGTGATTTTATTCTGTGTTTACAAGATATGGAGCCTGGGTTTGTCAAAGCAGATTCCAGGAATCTTCCTGATATTAACCACTTCATGGTTGTTGAGTTTTTTGCCAAATCTGATTTCTATGTGTCTGCTGAGATACGGGCCGTGAAAAACAAAAGGTAAGACAATGCATCGTATACGAAAGAGCTATTCAGCCGAAAACTTAAATTATCTGGCATGACTTATACATGTCACAATTTTGAAAGGTGTTTTTTTTGTAGCATTCCCCTAGTTAGGTAGGAACTTACCTGACAGGCAGGAGCAGCTCCGCAAATAGTCAACACAATCACTTTTTGCATAGTACAATGATACTTCTAAATTTGACATCTCATAAGCTATACATAACATCTAGCAACAAATTCTATCCAAGTTAACCTGACAGGATTAAGGATATGATGTGTGCTCATTGTGTCTGGTGACAAAGTTTGCAATGTGTTGATGTTTTTTTCTGTCTTTTCAGTGCGGCAAGGGCCAGTTATGGAGAGGATGCCGTAGGATACGTATGCATCAAAACCATTGGACAAGAGACGACAGTGGTTGGAAAGGTCACACCTGAGCACAAGGTGAATAACCCCCCATATCGTGTCTCTGCTGTTATCGACAACTGTAACCGTGTCATTGTGAGTGCTCAGTGTGAAGGATGCAAGGCCCAGAAAGGTGGATGCAAGCACACCATTGCATTCATCTTCTGGCTGCTAAGAAGAAGTGAGGAGGATGCTGTGACCGATGTCAAGTGCTACTGGCAGAAACCAGCTCTGTCAAACGTGAGGAACCTGCCTCCATTCAGAGTGTCTGATGAAGAACAGAAACTGAAAACTCGAGAGCCTCAGGTGCAAAGTGATGCATTCAGACAAGAAGCTGCCAACATGCTGATCCAGAGAGGGCTGCCAGTAAAAGCACAGGCTTTGAAGCTGATGGGGCTGGCAAGCAGCAGCATGGACATCATGTACCTCGACCATCTGGTGGATGTGTACCTGGACACCACAGACAAGGAGAACACATCATATGCTTCCTTTCTGGCTCTCTGCAAGGACAGCATCAGTGAAGCCGACTGCAATGCCAGTGAGGTAGGGTCACGAGAGCAAAAAGACTCTCCCATGTGGCATCACCTGCGCTTTGGCAGGGTGACTGCATCCCGACTGTATGAGGTGGCACAGTGCCATACAGCAGATGGTTCCCTGGTGGAGTCCATCTTATGTGCAGCCAAGTTCAAGGGCACAGCCGCAACAAAGAGGGGCAATGCCCTTGAGGCAAGAGTTCTTGCGGGTGTAGCAACCCACCTTGGTGAAAAGTGTTCAGGTGCTGGACTGTTCCTGAAAAAGGAGTGGGCTATCTTTGGTGCCAGTCCTGATGCAGTGATTCGGGACAGTGATGGTGGGGTCAGGGCGGTAGTTGAGGTGAAGTGTCCTGCATCACAGTCCACAGTCGGCAACTACATCAAGTCAGGAGCCATAGCTCCCAAAGTCCGGGCGCAGCTGCAGCTCCAGATGCTGCTGGCTGACTGCTGTGTGGGATACTTGGCAGTGGCATCCCCTGACTTTGAGAGCACTGGCAGCATTTATGTGTGCCGGGATACACTGTGTGAAAGTTTCTTGCTGCCTCTGATGAAGAAGGCAGAAAGGTTTTGGTACACTGCGGTGTACCCGCAGCTTGCGGCTGGCAGGCAGCTGGTTCCCCAGTGATGGGTTGGGGTCTAGGGATGAGGAGGTACCTTTGCTATGACTGTTGATATCTGAAACATGCTGGGTATTGGTCTAGCATTGGTGTGTAACTATGCAATGTATGATGAAAATTAGTACTCTTTCGTAGTTATGCTGTGGTCAGAAATTGGTGTAACAAAGCGAATGGTGTGTCTGTGTTTCATGTATGCTGCCATTGATTGCTCGATTGTGCTGTACATTATGAAACGAATTGCCACGTTTCCCATGAATCTCAAGTATCAAATCTACCTTACGATTTGTGTTGTGAGTGTCTGAGCTGTTGTAGGCTGTTCCTTTTTGGCATCTGCTTGAAGCTGATGCAAGATGAATGCATACAATAAAAAGGTATTGTACATTCAGCTATCTTGGATGTTTCATACTGTACAAGTATTGGGTATGGGGGCAGCTGTGCAGTGGGTTTGGACGGTCGCGACATCACAGTGTGAAATATCTACCAGAGATGTTTTGTCAGCTAACATGAACTCATCAACTAGGACTCATTCCGTAACGCAAAGAAAAGTTTAAAACTCGCTGGCATGTATTGCATACATCTCCTCAGTCCTCACTCACACCCAGTCACACTTTTGTCAGGTCATGCTGCAGGTTTACAAATCCACAAACAGTTTTCAGCACCCTGTTCAAGCAAGGTACCACAACACACTCCACAACCGCATGGGGCTTCACCATGGCAAACTCACGAATCCTGCGGATTGCTCTTTCCACATGCACTCTGAGACTGGCAACCTGTTTTGAAAACAATACGCGGTGAGCCTCAGGAATGTCAGCACTGCCCACAGAATCTGGTCTAATGAGGTAGCACGCTTTCGCTCGCAACAGTGGTTCAATGCTTTTGAAGCCACGATCAGCCATTACCACCATTCCCGGTTCTAAACAGTCCATAAACCCAGAATCCTGCAAGATTTGAATGTCAGATGTTCGGCCTCCATATCCCCCAGACACAAAATTAAACATTCCACTAGGGACGATGGAGACAAGATACTTCACAGTATTGCAGCTCTTGTATGATGAATACGTCTTTGACTGCTTCAATGCTACTGACGGCTTTTCAATCTCTATTTCTAAACAGTCTATGATGCAGGTTACACGGCTGAAACGAGCTTTGAATGCCAGTGGAATATTTCTGTATATGTCCCTACTTTTTGGCCAAAATACAAATGCCTGCATATGGCCCGAAATTTGGGGGAGGACTCCGCGCCACAAACGACAAGCATATGACCTGGAAATTCCAAAATCATCGGCTATGAGCTGAAACGGTCTGTCCTGCTTGAGTTTTACCATGACAAGGCAACATGCATCAAATACAGTCAGCCTGGACTGCCCTCCACAAACACCCTTTACTTTTGTGGCAACAAACTCAAGCATGAGAAATCCCTCTTCATTTAAGCCCATGTAACTCTTAGGGTCCTTCCTACACAGACCACGCATCCTTTCTAAGTTTGCAATGTTAATGCTACCAACATCATCAAATGTATCCTCATCAGAGTCATCATCTGGTTGATATGAGTCATCACTATCATGATTACCATGCTCCATCCCATCATCACTATCCCTGCTGCCATACATGGAGTGATCAGTCTGTGTATGAACAGAGAACAGAGGCCTCTCAATGCTCTGTGTACTTGCATCACAGTTTTCAACTTCCACCTGCGTGCCCACATCTTCTGAAGTTGAAGATTGAGATGCTGCATCTGCTGCTAGAATGTCTTGTTCTTGGGCTCGTGCAGACTCACCAGTTTCAGTATCAGTCTGTGAATGGAAAGGCACAGAGTTAACTCATTGACTGAGGTTTAAGGCTAACCAAATGGATATTGAGACCAGTGCTTAGAAGCTGCTAGTATTTGTACATGCCATGGCACATACTTTAAAATGTTGATGTGAGATGCAAAATGACAAAGGGATACAAAGTACATACCTCCTTGTCAGTGCAGTCCTCCAAAGCTGCAGTCAAAGTTCTTTGTTGATCACGCTTGGCAGCAGCTGCACGAACCCGCTCCTGATGTCTGCCTTGGCATTCAAACTTGTGAGGTAGGATTCCCTTCTTGAGCAGCAAGCGTCCACCAACCATATTGAAACGTTGCCAGTTGGTTGTGTCATTTTCCAGCTGAAAAGCAACATTAGTTTTTTTTCTTAATGCACAATATAACAGCCATATACATTTGCCCAAACACAATTCGTGCTGATGTTTTCTGCTTTCAGCAGGATGCAGTGATGTTAGAGTAACATTGAGTTCATGAAAGGTAAAGTTAACAATGGATGACGATTGGTGACAGTGCAAGTCAATGAAATGTCATTGCACTTTTCTTTCACCCTTGATAAGAGACGGCATCAACACAGCCTGCGTGCCATTAATTAACAGATTAACCACCAGTTAACATTCATGCCAAGACACCGAGACGGTATGAGAATTCACACTGATGCACAAACATCTCAATGCCAGTGCATTGTTCCATATGACAATGATAGGTAGGTAGGTACTAGGTACTCACATCAAAATGGTCCTCACAGCAGAACCATGGTGCTGTTGAAGTAATTGCATTGGCATCTTCACGCCTAGCCATTTTCGCCCATTGCCTTCTGGCAGGAATCTGGCGTGGAACTGGCAAAAATATTTTACCTGCCATTCTAGTGCTCGTATTCTCGCATTTAGGCACAAAACACCACTTGCGCCCCGAAGCAGCACTCATTTCTTGGCTCCACAGGGCACAGACTGTATCAAATGGATGAAACTGTGATGCATAAACGGCCTGAAATATCCAAGCACTCTTCCCGATTAAAAAAGGGTAAATGTGATACCGTAATTCGCAAACACACTTATCAATACCAATCACCAACCAATGCCATCTCCAAATACAATCATCGACAGCCTTGGCCGCCACAGCGCAAATCCGGCGCGTATACCGAGTGACGTCATGGAACAGCTGCCAATCAGCATCATAAATTTTGATGACGTTTTTTACAGAAAAATGTCAATTTTTTCACCAAAACAAGACTGTTATCCTTCAACAACCCAATAAATCGACTTCCTAAATCAGGACTTACTTATACATATGAAAATCTTAACCACTTTTTGGGGAGTACCACACCCTATACCGAACCGATACCGATTCGGTATTCGGTATTTTATACCAAAAGCATTTGGTATTTTGTCGGTATCATGAAAGTCAACTACTGTCATAAAAAATTAAAACATTTTTGATAAACCTTCTGAACTCAAATTTGATATTGCTAAATGACATTGGATGAAGAAAAAGGACAATCATGACACATTTCTCCCAAATGCATGATGTCATAACAAATGGGCAAACACATTAACTGCAACATCAAACACATCAGTCTACCAATGTTAAATGGCAACTTATCAGTGCCAGCAAATTCCAATACCTACTGTTATGTTCAAAGATTCCGTTCCGCACGACGTATATATTTTAACTAAACGGACTCAGAGTAGAAAAACAAGAGCATCGCGGCGACGTCCTTCCGTCGCCGCGTCCCGTCTCTGAATGGCCTTCACACTAGAGTTGCAAAATTTCCCTACCGCACTACCGGCATGCCGGTAATTTTTCACTACCGCAGGTTTTTTCGTGGTATTTGGCATATCCTGCCGGTAGCATGCCGGTATTTTTGATTTTGCACCAAAAAAAAATTATCAGCATATGATTCAAACTTTGGACACAAAGAGGCTATTGAATTGTAATAACAGCAATCTTAGCCACTGCAAAATACACTTTGTGGTAGAAGTTCCATTGCTAAGGGTAATTGTACACATGAACCTCAGCATTTCACAGGTTTGGCTCTAATACGAATTGTCAAGAATCTACTGTGGTCTATCAAAGGAAGAATACTCATTCATGTTGCAAAAGCACAACCAATTAGTAAGTCTAATGGTAGGTAATAGGTATAATACAATAAAATAAATTAATGTTAATGGCAACATTCCTAGGCAAAAGGCAGAATCAAAGCAACACAAAACACATTGTTTGGAAACTGGCCTTGAGTCCTGAGATGTGGTCTGAGATACTCTACAAAGAATTTGACACTGAAAATCCAGCTGAAAAGGCAGGTGTTAGGAAGCCCTGAGCCTAACTTCGGTCCCAAAATGAAATGAAAATGAATTAAACTGGCATTTTGTCTTATCTTTACAAGAAAACACAACATGCAGACCAAATGAATACAAAGTGGCGCAATATGATCAGCTGATCAAGCAACCAAGGATTGACTTTTAAGATCCTCTGTCCCCTAAAAAAAGGATGTAAGCTGATGACGTAATATTTATTCATATGCCCTTTTGGTTGAATTACTCAAGAGAAGTGGATTTTCTTGTTGTGAATAACACTCACAGTGTTGATTTTATTGGATTTTAATATCGTGTTGGATGATTTTTATCAAAAAAATCATTCACGAGGCAGTAGTTTGCAGTCCTAAAACTTTTTTTGCAGTGTTTTAATCAGCTGGTTAAAAACTGTGTTATGGCGCATCTGTTTCGATCCTTTATAACCTTGTGTTTGTTTCCGCGTTTGAGATGGGAGAGGATGTTATATCGTTTTTATACATATTATTTGGTGACTTCTCAGGACAAGTGAGTTATTAACACATATTTTTACATGATTCGTATCTTACTCACGAGCCAACAAGCCATGGCGGATAGGAAAAAGCAGATGTTGATCTCGCTTCCTCAGTTAGGAACGTGGCCAAATCTGTAGTTTTTTGATATTGTGATTTCTACGCTTCGTTCGAGCTCGCAAAGGCGAAAAGCAGGAAGCGCCGCGCTCAACCCACGGCTCAGTGGCTGACTGCTCTCGGCGGCGCTGCGAGCGCGAATGACCCGGGCTCGGGTCATGCGGACCTGACGAGCGGGCGGTATGACGCAATCACATGGGCGGCGCTCGCCCTCACCGCGGAGAAAAAACATTATCAGTTGACTTATAATGTTACATTTATGACTAGCTATAGTTCATTTTAGCCTTTTAGGATAATGTGGAAAATAAGAACGCTTGTGGTAAATGTGATTGCTGCTCACTGTGCAGTCTTCAGGAACACATTTCAGTAATTCAAGTTCTTTTTGACCTTGCTTTTTTGATGAATGTGTGTAGGCTTTTTGTAGGCAATACCTCTTTGATTACAGGTGATATTTTAACAGCTGTAAACTGGAATAGAGTTTCAAAATTGTGGTATTTGTGGGGCCAACTCAGCCAAAATC